GATATAGACATAGTGCAGCGAATTAAAATTCAGCGGCTCCGCTGGCTTGGCCATGTCGTTCGGATGGACAGAAACGATCCTGCTCTGAAAATATTCAACGCGGGCCGCGATGCTGGGAACAGAGGAAGAGGAAGGCCTCCTCTGCGTTGGAAAGACCAGGTGGAGAAGGACTTGGCTTCACTTGGCATTTTCAATTGGCGTCAGTTAGCACAGAAGAGATATGACTGGCGTGCTGTTTTGGACTCGGCCAAAATCGCTTAGGCGGTTACAGCGCCAAATAAGAAGAAGAAGAAGAATACATACATATGTTCATATGGCATTTGCAGATACATCCCAGTGCGAAAATGTAATGTATGGTAATCAATCAGTAAAAGACCCCTTTTCACATTCGAAAATGCATTTTTCCTCCAGGGCGATGTCCTAAGAGAAGTGGGGCATTCAATTTTGCATTACCTAGTATCGAGAAACGAATGTGATTTAATATGAAATTTTTGAGACTTCTTGAATACTGATTACATATTAAACAGTAATTGGATGTAAAACTCATAAGAAATACATTCGATTATTTATCACGATTGGAATGCATTACTATTCGCACTGGGATACTATGTACATACATATGTAGGTAAATATTATAATGTGCCCAAACACAAATTTCTATTGAAGAGTTGTGATTTGAATTTGTTCATTATCTACACCCTGTGCCGCTATAACATAAAATTGCATACTTTCAGGCTTTTCTGCTTGCGATCACTCTTTGTGGCCTTTTATTAACGTGTTATTAGGTGTTAATTTTCCAACAACAAAACGTATGCTTGATTGCTACATAACTACTTTGCACCTTAAATGCCTCAAACAGTGAGTACCATTATTACTTTAGACATGCATGACAGAGTTTGCCTCCTTTGACAGTTAATTTTAAAGTTGTAAAATTTCTTACAAGGCGAATTCGTAAAAGGTGGTGTTACCGGAACTGCTGATTTCAAGGCGAACTTTTACTGTTTGTCAAAATAATGTGTACGTTTTAAATTTGTTTGTACAGTTTGTTAGTGTAGTTTTTGTTTTTGGGCTGTCGCTACCACCTTGTATAAATTCGCCTTGATTTCTTGATTACCTTGTTTATATGTGGAAAATGCGAGGTATTCCAAAATATCGGCCCGCGTAAAGGTTTGAGTTTGATTCTGAGGTTCCTCTTGGAGTCGAGTCATTGCCTCACTCATCCAGAGTACGGTGTGATAGTAGTCATGATTGACGTACGATTGGCGTCCCAACTCAAAGCAGTCATCTGAAGACATTGCCGTGCTGGAAAACAGAAAAGGAAATGTGATGTAACCAGAGTCTCCTAACGTAAACAAAAGGATTTTCAATGTCTAGGGAAATTAGAAGAACTTGTGTAGAATAAATATTATCAATTGCAAGGAACTTCAATGGGAATCATTCAGATCCATTGCGCAAATCACAAATAAGCAGACAAAACTTTGCGATCACCGATTACTTCGAAATTTTCTACTTCATCTTCCTACTTACACATGTCTCTTTCATGATAATTATCCTTACCTGTATTGTATGCCATTAAGCATGCCACGCGCCACACTCGATGTGTCCAGTTTGTAGGTGTCCTGCAGCCGCATCAACGCTACTGCAGCTCCATTCAAATCTTCATCGGATGGGAATTTCAGTATGTGGCGGTAATTCGTGATGTTATTCAGAAACTCTAGAACAGGAAAACGGGGTTGCGAAAAACGAAAAGAGATTATGTAATCAAAGCATGAGTGTACATGTTTATGTATGTATTAGATAAAACCTACCGACGCCTACATCGTGCGCCATTAAATTCTCCACTTGTCGCCAGTCGGTGGTCAGTCGTTTTGTCAGCAGGTAAGCGTTTATTGGATTTGAGACGTAGGCGGACATATCCGCGGCTGCGTCCTCGTGTTCTCTTTGGTATTCACCCAGCTTACTGTAAAGAAAGAAAGAAATACATACGTATCTATATTCATATATGTAAACACGGAGAAGACACATACATAACAACAAAAAGCATATGCACATATATGAAAAATTTAGACTTAGCGTCATAAACAGATGCAATTTAAAATTGAAAAAAAAAAATTTGCGAAAAGTTTAATATTTTATTTTTGCAATCAGCCAAACTTACTAGGCTGCAAGAAAATAAGAATGTAGTAGAATAAGGCCTAGCTAGGTATTGCAAAAAAATAACATAAAATAATCGATGATTAATCACAAGCCAAAAAAAATCAATTGCAATTAATTGCAGTTATTGAGAAATAATCGATCAATCGAATTCTTAAGGGCACTGTTCTACAGTGAGTATTCACAAAAAAAAAATGAGTATCCATAAAAAATTCGAATTCTTGTTAATTAGCCTTAAATAAAATAAAGCGAGTATTAACCAAGTTTGCAAAAACAAAATTATTGATCAGCGTTTCGTTGTCAAGTAGTTTCATTGCTCCGTGGCTGTAGCTCCAGCTTTTGAAATGACAGTATTTTTTCGAAAGTCTGTAAAGTTTTAGGTGAACAGTTTTCACTTCCTCCCAAGCGTCGATGATATTCGGCTTTAGTTCTTGGATTTGACAATTTAAATAATAACTCATTTATTCTTGTGGGTGACGAATGGGAGATCATGATCTTTTCGCCTTCGTTTGTGTACAAGAGATTTATGAGGGGCCCAAAGATCGAGCTCATTCCCATTCTACTGATTGTAGTGATAGCTGCGCACATTATTTCATTTCGCAAGAGCTTCATTACTGAGGACAATGCTAACGGATCTTTGAAATGAGTTTTTTTGAACCTCGGGTCGAGTAAAGTTAGAACAGCTAGCAAAAAAGAATGTTCGATGGATGGATTTTAGATAACTAGAGAATTCATATTTCTTGAAAATATTTTTACGATTATTTTACAATTCATCGATTAATCATCGATTAATTTAATCAAATGATTGATTAATCGCTGCCATCCCTAGGCCCAGCCAATAAGGAAAGTAAGTATTTCTTTACATACATCACAAGGGGCGTGATTCCCTTCTTCTCTGGTACTTGTAGCTAATGAATTGCTTAAGAAATTTGAAAGATAGACTGCAAAATTAGTTTCGACGCAGAAGACATGGCGGTGTTGGGGACTGTGAATAATTCTCTAAAGGTGATACAACACAGGACTATTCAATCGAGCTTTGTGGTAAATGAGCATAAAACAGACCCATGTGCATTGCTGAAGGAAATATGTATGTATGCATAAGGCCCATGCATGGAATCTCTCGAAATTGTTTAGCCCAGAACTGACTAAAAAGATGCACGGAATAGTGATCTTATACAGTAAAATGCAAAAAACGCAAGCCACGTTTTAGAATATTAAGTTTAGATCCATGAAAATAGTTCTAGCTATTACTATGGAAATCTCATTGCTAGCTCTGATGCAATAGCATAAGGGGAAAAAACATATGGCGTTCATATTTTGGCTACGTGGTTGGTCGAGCGCCCTCCAGTTTGTGGTGTGCGTCGTGATAAATTTCGTAACACAAGTGGAGAGGGCTGAACTTTTACGTCGTTACCGAGCGCCCGATGGTTTTCGGAAAACCATGGACGACCTGTGTTAGAAAGTTTTTCTTTGTCTAATTTTAGTTGGTGCTTGGACAACGGATCGATTATAGGTCCTGCAGGGTGGTAGTATGCATCTAACCGCATCGAGGAAACCGCTATTTCTTAAGCTTACTTACATATAAATATGATACGTACTACATGGTTTAGGGTCAGAGAGCGTCCCAGACTAAAGCCGAAACTGAGTGCATGGTGATTTTTTCAAATAAATAACAGCTTAATACAAATTTTAGAAAAATGCAACATATTTCCATAAAAATTTTGAACTTTTTAATCTAAACTCTAGGATATGCAGTTGCATGCCTAACGAAATTTTAGTAAAATGAGTGCAAGTTTTAAACAGCGGTATTTTATATAATTTAATTAATTTATAAAAACTGCCGTTGATTTTTTTTTAATTTATGTACATCAAAAAGGTGTTCTTCTGACCTAAGTCCAGAGAGTGGGGGTTGAAATGGAATTTCGAGTAAACAAAATGGATCCAAAACTTCCGTCTTAAGGCCTTTCACGTAATGAAATTTTTATGTCGACTTTGTCTGTTGGCCGTCACTATATGGGTTAAAATCACAAAAGTTTTTAAAAACTCTGCCAATTTGTCCTTATTCTGTGAATACAAGTGAATAAATTGCAGAGAAATCCGTATATCCACACAAAAATATAACAACCGAATTGAAACCAAAGCTCTGGAAATTATTCGTGACTAAAATTCATTTGACTTCAAAACCTTTATTCGCATTGTATTATATTGACAAACAATAAAAGTATCTTACATATGTACATTTGTTTATTTAAATGCAGCGGAACCCATAACTTTATTACTAACTTCAAGTCTTCTAAGATTGAACAAAAGCTGCGATAAGTATACCTTATGAATAGCTAAAGTGTGCACTTATACATAAGCTATCAAATAGTTTTCAACAGGAACGTGAACCGGGTGAAAATTTGCTTCGAGCCGTTTATTTCCTTTGAATTGGTTCGTTAAAAAGATTTTTGTTTTTTTTTGGTTTTTGAACCGGGGTTTTGGTTCGGTTTAACAGTTCGGGAATTACAAAAAAAAAAGATGTATATTTGTGTTAATTTATTCAGTAAAAATCCAAAAAGAAATACATACAGTGGTCGAAAAGTTATAGCCGCGAACATTTTGACAAGTTTTAACATATAATTTTTTTTTTGTTATTTAATTTGGTTATTTTTTTTATAAAAATGTAGTTCATTCAACAAAGCCGTGTAGCTGCATGTTTTAAATTTTGTGCAATATTAAAAAAAAATCAAGAAACTTTCGTAAAAATTTCGAGCCTATTAATTAGATTTCATAGAAAGATTTTATATGCAGTTTTGCGGCCGAATGAATTCTAGTAGTAGTAGTATGAAAGACAAGTTTCAAATGACCTAAAATTAGCTTTGATTTTTTAGATTTTTTTTTAGAAATCTATTTAAAAAGCTCGCAATTTTTACGAAAGTTTGCTTAATTTTTTTATTTACACGCTTTTTGCTAACGAGTTAACTATATCTTTATATACAAAAAAAAAAATAAAAAATTATATAACAAAAAAAAAAAATTATATGTTAAAACTTTTCAAAATGTGGTGAGGTTATAATTTTTTCGACCATTGTATATATGTATTAAACCGGACAGAATTTGTATCATCCGTTATACATGGAAAAAAGTCAGATGGTAAATAAATATGGTGTTACCACATTTAAAGAAAAATAAATAAGAAAGTGGAGGGAAAATTGTCCGAAACGGACATTAATTATTTTTAAAAAATGGTTCGATTTTCGGTTTGGATTAAGCATTTGTGGAAAATTCCGGTTCCTTTAAGGGTTAAGTTAATTATTACAAAAAAGCGGTAATCCGGTTCACATCCCTGGTTTTTTAACTGACTTCAGAAAAATAGGAGGTTGCCAACTCGTCGGGATATTTTTCATTTTTTATATGTTACCGAATAACTTTCATAGTATATGAACACTGAAGTCGGCCGTGTTTTTTGCATACTTATTACTTGTAGTATGTATTATTAACTTATTTATGTGACATCAACAATTGATATGAACATAGTTCATACCAGGGACGTGTGGTTAATCAGTTTTCTGATTTACAAAATTATTTCGATTCCGATTAGTCAAAATGTATTTAATCGAGAAATTAGTTACTTTGTTTAATTTTGATTAATTAACTAATCAGGCTTCGATTAATCAACATATTAGCTTTTTAGATTAATCGAACATTCTTAGTACATACTAACAAACATACATATAGTCATGTGAAAAATAATAGGGACACGATATTCTCACCAGTTTTGGCTATACTTCTTTCGGTTGTTTAATGTTTATTATTTTATAAAAAGGCAATTCGTTACCTAACAAACCCCGTATAAATCCAAACTTCAAAACAAAGAAAAATTAGATAAGTTAAACAAAATTTTACAACAAGAACATACTTTAAATCTAGGTGTGCAGTTGTATAGCCCATTTAATTCCAGCTTAACAAAGTGCAAGTTCAAAGTGGGTAAGAAATCGCGTAGATTTTTGATGATTTTTTTCCGCAAAAAAATTTGCACTATGTGGCTTTTGTTAGATAGTGAGCTGTATTTTTATAAAAAAGATAATAAAAATTAAAAAAAACAAACGAAAAATAGCCAAAACTGGTAAAAATACAAGACTGTATTTGCACCCGAAAATTTCAAACTTCTTATTTAGAATTTTGGGTTAAAGTACAAATTTCAAGACGCTAGAAAATCGCGGAGATTTTTTATAATTTTTTTTGCTGATGATGCTAGGCTTTTTCCCCGATACAAATGATATTGTCGAGCATATTTTATATGGTTGTTCTGAATAAAAAGTTGAAAATTTTTGGATGCAAATGTTAAAGTTTTTTGTATTTTCATAATTTTTGTACGGAGTTTGAAATGTGGCGCTGGTTATGTAAAGTGCTAAACTAATAAATATAAACATTAAATAAACAGAAGAAAAATATCCAAAACTAGTCAAAATGTCACTTGACTTAATCAGGTAACCACAAGTTTATGAATACTAAGGGTACCTTTGTTTATAACTAATTACAACCATATAACAGTAGAACCATACATATACAAAACTATGTAGGTATTTACATATGTATGTCCTTTTAATCTCTAAAAACTGGATTGTGTGTGTGCCTCTTTTTCTATTTCGAAAATTTTTTATTTACAGTCTTTTTTCGAACAGTGTAAAGTGATATTCACTTGTCCTACTTATTTTTTGGTATTTTAGCCGTGAATATTATTTTCGAATTACATTTAAGAATCCAATACTCGCACTAGTATAAGTAGCTAAATTTTATAAGTAAACTATGAATATTACGTACATAT